AAAATATTAATTTTATTCCAAAATATCGAATCACATTTTAAATAACTTATATAGCAATATATACATATGTTACATATTTTGTTGCCATACCGTTATAAAGCAATTTTCTGAATATTCTATTCCCCTATCGGTATCAGCAAAAATACAAATTAGTAATTACCATCATGCAACGTAATCGATCGAGAAATTGATGGAACATATTTCCACAGACTAGGCCGGCAATTACGCATATAATCGACGTGCGTAATATTTTATTATGGATGGGAGGTTGGCAGAAGGTTGATAGAAGGGTGAAAAGCTGCCGCTTAGGGAGGCGGTTTGCGAACAGGAGCGGAGCTGAATGTTAAACGCGGCTAGTCTGTTACGTGTGGTTGCAGTTTGGCTTCTTAATGAAAAGCAGCGGCATGGAAACGTCAGGTTTGGTTTACCTTGCAATTGGAAGCACGTCTCCGACGAGACAGGCGTTACTCCGCGTGAACAGGAAAGACGATGGAAGATATGGATTCGGCTTCCTTCATTTTCGTCACCTTGACTCAACTTGACTTGCTTTTATATCTTTCGTGGTAATCGTTGGCTTAAGCGTGCGGTCGTGAAACTATTATTACGAATATTGGAAGTTTTTCTTCGGAAAAATTCATATCATGATTTAAAATTTTCTTCAACAAAAATCTTAAGTTCTGTCCGTTTTTTTTTAGTTGTTAAATATAGTTATTAAGAATAATAAATATATTTAAGAAAAGCTTCATGAGCTTTTGCTGGATCGTTGATACAAAGATGTAGAGCCGATAAAAATTTAGATTTCAGAATTGTTTTCATTATTATTTTATGAAAATTTGTATTTCAAATTTGAAAAATTCGTTAAAGATTGAAATGAAAATTTATTAATCCTATAAGTGCTTATCGTGTAAGAAAATATATTTTTTTAATTAATTTTTGTTTTTAATCAAAGTAAGAATTCTATAGGAAGTTTTATTATTTAAAAATACAATTTATTTCTTATGTATCTTAATTTGTAAACAATTTTATATTATACAATACAATATTATTAACAAATTGTGTAATATTAAAAATTATAAGTAATTATTAATTGTATGCATTATATATTGAATTCATTTATTATTTTTAATTGCAATTACTTTAAATATGGAGATATTTAAAATAAACATTCATTTTATATGATAGATTTTCAAGAAAAAAATTTGAAAAAATTGATTATTAAATATATATAAAATTATTAGTAATTAAAAAATTTTTGATTTTAAAAAGTTCTATATGATTTCATTTTTTACTTTCATATTTTTTATATGCAATAAAATAATGAATAATGTACAAGTAGAAATTATTTTATTTGATTTGAAAAAAATTTATTATTTATATTTTCATTTCTTTGAACACAATACAAAAATTATATTTTGAAGGAACAGCCTAAATTTTTTAACATAAGAATAACAATTTTCAAATAAAAGTTGTACGAATAAACATCATATTCGCGTAAAAGTAACGAATCAAGCATGTCTGACTTATACTAATTTATACTACTTACTTACATTACATACACTTTATGTATACAACATACTCTTACGTTTAATGTTCCACATGATATATAATCAAAATCACCTTCTATTATTTCGTATTATCACTAGAATTAAAATATGTTGTAATTAATATCCAATAATAATATCTCGAATACTTATTTCCTAGAATTGATGAATCTGTTCTCCAATCAATTTTAAACACGCTGTAAACTCGAGGAAGTATCCGGAAAATAGGTTAAACCGATCAGACACGAGGAAGAGATTCCGCCAAATCCCAGCAGAATCTAGATCTCGCGCCCGAGCTTAAGTCGATTTCAACCAGACCTTGATACCCCCTACCCCTCTCACAAAACTAATTTTCCCCCTCATATTTAACTAGGGAACTCCAATCACGGTATAACTCGGCAACCAGTCACAAAACAATCCCCAAATAATCAGAGAAACGCAGAAGTACTGTGGCTCAAGTACCCATACATCAACCACCCTGGAAAACAACAACCACCTGTATCTACCAGAAAAGTCATCCAAAAGTACCAACAAACACATACTTAACAAACAGCCCTAACCACTTCCACAGTGTTTCCCTTTCCTTACACGTCACAAGCGTTGCTTCCACGTCGAACGGCCACCCCCTTAACGAGTTCTTAATGTCATGAGGGAACCGACAGCGACCTCGTCCACTGCTGCGTCTCAGAGAATTCTGGCGCAGGTGCGTGTCGCGTGTTATCGACCAGCGATAAACGGTCGACCAATACATCGATGGAACACGTGCGAGAGCCAGCAAAGGGATAAGTCGGGTGGCGTTGGCCGCCAACCATCAAAATGGATACTCGTGCGGGGCTCTTTAGCCGTCCAATTAGCTCCCTCGCGGATAATGTTCACTCTTTGAATGTTCACCGTGTATTGTGTATTCTCCGATTACTGTGGTTCGAGATTGATCGAGACATTATTCCATGTCTCGATGATGATGAACGAAAGAAGTTGTTGGCAAGTGAAGAAGATCAACGAAAGACGTGACTAGGCATGGATAAATTAATATGTAAGTTTAATATGAAGTGGACATTGAGTAAAGATTCATTTCATGATACTTTTTATTAAAATATTTTTGTCTAATATTATCGATTCGTTTATTTGTTAAAAATATATTTGATTTTAGATATAGGTTTTTGTTTGTTCGATCGGGATTTTTCGATTACATCATGATTTCTACAAATGATATTGGAATAAATTATTTGTTTGTATTTTTTTAATTTATAGAAGCTTCATGTTTTAAAGATATTTTTTAATTTTGAAAAATATAATTTCAATTTTCAAAAATTATTTTAATAGTATTCATTTTTTTTTAGAAAAATGTTGAATAATATAATCATTTAGATAAATCAATGATAAATATATATATATGAATATTATAAAACTCAGAATTGTATAATTATTTTCTAATAATGAAAAAATCTTTAATCTTTTTTTAATTTTTTTAATTTTTTACTCTTCCTTAATCTTCTTATCTTCGTATGTAAAAAAATTATATTTATTATAAAATTAAAATTGTAAAATTAATTTTTAAAGAACTTCAAAATTTTATTTTTTGTCTTTTTAACATATTTTAATATTGAAATTAATATTTTTTAATATTGAAAATTTTAACATATCTTTCTATATCTTTTAATCCTTATTTTTATTATATATATATTAATTATAGTTCAAAGAAATCTATAATTCAAATTGTTTTATCCAAAATTATTTCTAAACAGTAAAATTATTTATTAAAAATATAAATTAAATTGTTGTAAATTATTGAAAAAAAGTTATAATGAGAACAATAATTTTTAAATTAAATGATGAATTTGATCGTTTTATCAAGAATTCTTTAATCAAATTTTATTACCATAGAATGTAACTTTTGATCGCTATTAAAAATCACGAATAATAAATAAAATTTTTGAAGCATTCAAAACGTTCAAAAGTAAACAAATTTTATTCAATCTTTTATTTTTATTTAATCCTTTTATTCAATCCTCAAATCAAACAATGATTCATGAGAATATGGATTCGTATAATCGATGGTGTATTGAATTGTAAAATCTCTTACTTATAAAAAAATCATTTTATCATTTTATTAAAATGAATTCCACATTTTGCAATTACTAAAAGATAACGTGCACCTATGTGTGTACGTAGTTCTCAACGACCGTTTGATCCAGAGTGACACGTAGTACGTGGCCGTCCTGGGTGGAGATATACGAGGAACGAATATCCGGAAGGGGCGGTCTAAAACTCTGGACTCTGTCCATCGTGAAGAGAGAACGAGGTATCTCTATCTCTATCGTAACACGGCTAGTGCTCGTGCATGCTTACAAACAAGCCTTTCCTCGAAGGCCTAGTGACCGATGAGGCTCGAGATCGAGAAAGGGTTATTCTCCAGAGGGATAAGCGACAATGCTCGAAATCGATCAATGATGATGTATTTTCATCAAATGTAATTAAATCAAAGTTCTAATCATGATATTATAGATTTTCAATTGATAGTATTAATAAATTGCATTCTAGATATAATAAAAAAAATATTCTCTTATAAATTTTTCTTTTGTTAATTAATAAAATTAATTGAATTATTAAAATGAAATTTCGTGATATATACTATCTTTTTTTGAATTCTATCATGAAAAATGATACGATTTGTACATGATCAAAATCGAAGAAATATTTTGTTTTGCAAAATTGATAAATACACGAATAATTGTTTCTTAAATTGTTCAATTGATTTATATCAAACGCTTGAGAAATTAAAAATCAACAAGAATGAATTAAATTTAATTCGATCTAATTTAATCTTTGCTATTTTAAATACAAAACAACGTATTAGGAAATAAAAGATCTTTAAATAAATCAAATACTACATACCAAACGACTTAAGTCACCTTCCTCAATTAACAAATTTAGACACAACTATAAGTATTGCATACGAAATAGATAAATTATATTCCCATCAAACTTTTTATAATTACACCTTTTATAATTACAACTTTTTATAATTATACCATACTCATACTATTTATCTGTTATCCATAAATATTCATTACATACAAATCAATTGAATATAACATAATAAACGTTATTATTGAACTTCGTTGAAAATCCGCAGAAGCAATCTTTCTCTGCGACCAGCATGAAAAACAAGTTGCGATGCGGTATATTCGTGAACAAAGTGATAACTTTGATATAAAAATCCGAGAGGAGAAAATCGTTGACGAGGGTAAACGCGGGTAAAGGAACGGCCGTTAACCGAAAACGGAAGAGACCCACGTAGGACACGCGAGGTTCCATGCTAACGAAACTAATTTCACTGTCGTCCACTTATTAAGATCAAGACGGAAACTTGTCGAGGGACAGGGTGTTGGCATAGCATTGCATAAGGAGCAACGAAGCGTCTATGGTTTAACATTGTTTTAGCGTCAATTTACTTACCGTGGCTGCCATGGAGAGATGAGGGGCGGCTCGGACGGTGGGATCTTAGGCTTCACTAAGCGAGCCATAGCAAATCGGAATCTGTGCTGCCTTTTGACATTCTGCAACAGAAATTTATTCCGATAATATGTTCCATCATATCGTTAGAATATTATTTTAGAATATTATTTAGGATAATTAGTTTTTCCTCGTTCGGTTTTTTTTTCTCGAATTCCATTGATAATACATGTTATCGATTGGTATAAATGACTCGTTTTTATTCGATTGTCGACGATTATCGAACGGCGGCGAGAATATAGAAAATAAAGAACGGTGAAGGAGAGATATTAAAAATGATAAGGCGGCGAGAAAAACGAGCATTGTACTAATTAATAATCAATCGATATTTGTTTTTTAATTCGATGATGAAAATCGAGCAATGAGAAGGCTTTTTTCAACGTTAAATCTCCAAGATAGATTTATTATATGCATCGTTATTTAGATTAAAACGGAATAATTATGATAATTCATTTATAGATGAGTTGAAAGTTCTTTGGGATTTGAAGATGTTTTTAATTCTTATTTGCATTAATATTTAGGTAAAGTATGGGATATTAATTTTTATAGATTTTTTAATATTATTATCATTTTCTGAATAATTTGTCAAAAAGAAATTGATATTGATCAAAATATAAAATAAAATCTTTCTTTCGATAATAAATTATTATTTTATTTATCTATTTCTAATTTTTCGTAAAGTAGAAACTTTATACTTTTACTCATTGGTAACTTCTTATTCTTAAAGTAATGAAATTTTTATTTCAATCGTTGATTAATCACTATTTCCTAATAGTTTTTGTAAAAGATAATTAATACTGATGCGAAATAAAATTTTCTAACAAATATTTTCTATAATATTTTAAAGAAAAATATATAAACAAAAATTTAAACTTTATCTTAATAATATAATAATTTAATCGCTTCATATATTTTATTTTCTAATTTTTAGCAAATTAATTGATTATTCGATAACTAAGAGAAGATATTATAATTGGGTCATGTATCCTATAATATTATAATCTAGGATATTTAATAATTAATGTATACTATATATAAATTAATTAAATCAAAGTTTATTGATATAAATATGATAGTTAATTTACCATTTTTAAATGAATATTAATAACACAAGTAGTTTCTAATTATAATTAAAAGATAAAATACTAGAATTAAATTTTAAAAAATTCTTTATTTCCTTTTATTCTATATTTTTTCGATACAATTTTAAATATTCACAATTAAGACTAAGTACTTAAAACTCCTCTTCATCCTTATAAATCACGCCAATTATTTACCAGAATAAAAAAAAAACTTTGTTGCCAATGTTCTTAATTAAAACTTCGTACCAAGCGTTATTGTCAAAAGAATAAATCGCACAAGAGAACATCAAAGCCTTCTATCAACGTATTACATATTATTTCCAAATATCAAACCGTTTTCTTTCTCAAAATTGATGTTGTATATTACCACGTAGCGTTGCTTGACAAAGAAAAAAATCAATTTCGAAAATTCGACTGGTAAAGGGGATAAGACGGAACAGGGACACGTTGAAAGGTAATCGTAAATTAATTTCGAGACGAAATTCGCCTGGCGTTTAATTACGCGTTTTAATTTGAAGCCTCGCGAAAGTGCTCTTTCCCTATCCCTGTTGTCGTGGTCGTCGCGTAACCAGCCAACGTCCCTTTCTTTCTCACGCCCTTTAAAAGGGGCTGTATTTTAAGCTAACCGGTAATTAAAAGAATTACGTCTTCGTTCGGCAAAGGTAGCAAACTGGCGCGTCGTGAATAAAATGGGACGAATTTTAACCCTTTCTTCGTTGACGGTTTAATTAGACCTGTTCGCCGCGCGTGAAAATCGACCTTATTGAATTTTAACTTTGCTTGAATTCAAGACTCCGGATGAATCTTCTTGGATTTAATACAGTCTTGGGTAAAAATAGTGTTTGGGATGAAAATATTTTGAGAAGTTTTTTAATCGTGTTAAATTATCTCCTTATAATATTTGAGGTAAAAATACTTTTAGAAGTTACTTTTTTTCTTTTTCTTTTTTTGTCATATTAAATTATTTGTAAATTATTCACTTTTGCAGATAATTTTAGCTTCATTTGAAATTGAACTATATTTTTGAAAATGAAATTGTTATTTAATATAAGTATTTCGTATGCAACATTATATGTGTATAAATAATATAAAACCATATTTTAAATTTTGTTACTTTATAATAATATTTTGATGAAGTAAAACAATTAAAAAATTTAATACTTTCTTAAATATTAAATATTTTAAATACGAAAAAAATTAGAAATATTTTTGAAAATTACATATTTAGAACTTTTAAAGTGTGAAATCTTAAGAAGAAAATTCTATATTTAAAAATATAATTTTTAATCATTCAAGAGTCCATTTATTATTTAAATTTTCTATTAACAAATCAATTAAATCAATATTAAACTACTAGTTACTGTTGTCAACTATGTAAGCGATTTTCATAAGGATGTGATTTACTTAAAAATAAGATACATCTTTGCACGAGCACTTTGTAAATAATTTACTAATGAAATAAATTTGCTCTACACAGTTTCGATACATCATTTCGAGCGAAATTTGAAATGCACAATTCTTGATGCTTTTACGAGTTTGAAACTCGACATCCAATTTCTATCTCCAATTTAAATTTTTCTTTTCAAAATTGAAGAAAACACTCAATGATATTCAATCGATCGATGAAGTCAAAATATATCAATTAATATATTTTTTAATTAATATATTTCGATAATTCGATTTCCATTTTCAAAATAAAAACAAAAAGTTCATTACTTTTCAGCCGATCCTAATACATTTTAATACTTTTACGAGATTATTCTAATAATTCATTTTATAGAAAGAAATTTTTACATAAAAATTTGTTGATTGATTTTTGAACATTTTATAAATACATGTTAAAAATTTCTTTCAATTAATATTCCAAATATTCGAAGAATCAATGATTCGAGAAAGAATTTTAGGCATCGGAAGGAACATACATGCGAAATATTTGGCTCGAGAATTACCGAGGCTCAAAGTTTGATTGGCCGTGAACGGTATATCAAGACGAGGCGGAGAGACAACTTCAACTTTACTGCGCGCTAACATCCAACCCGCAACTTCGCGAAGTCACGAACAAATTGGATTTAAGGTTGGCATCTTTTCGGCTAACACGCGCATAGATGTTTACCCTTTCGAACGTCTCAACTCAAACAGTAATTAATTGCTTGGAACAGTTTTGTCGTTTAACATTGACGGAGAGAACAGTTCTGTAACTTCATTCCAATGCATGGCGAGGATGTGAAAGGATAATTAAGATAAAATTACGAATAAACTAATGATCGATTTTTCATTAAATGAACCGTTACCTTTTTCAATCTCGCAATGAAATTATGATTCTTTTTTTTTTTTTTTTTGCATGAGGATAATTGAAACAAACGCGATGTGATCAATTTTTAATTTGAAATTCATTTCAATACGTTTATCGGAATGATTAAGTTCAGCCACAGGGTAATAAAATTATATGGGACTGAATGAAATCTCTTTGTAATTTTTTGTAACAAATATGTACGATATTATTTAGATAAAATACAAAATTATTTTTCATTTTTTTCCTCTTTTTATTCATTTCATTTTATTTCATTAATTACTTTTTTCTGCAAAAAGATTGATAATACAATTTATATTCTCCTTTCGCATCATGCAACTTTTAAATGAAACGTTTTTTTATATAACATAATAATTTACATATTTAAAGAATATATCATTCTGCATCCTGTATTATAATAATTCTTTAAATAATTTTTGTTATTCATTGAAGTAATTTTTCTTAAATTACAATAAAAATATTTGAATTTTATATGTTTACGTCAAACTTAAACTAAGATTATCGAAATATTCTTCTTCAATTTGTTTTTATTATTCATATGATAAATTTCACGAAATTATATAAAATTATAAATAAATATAGTAAGTGCATTGTACATCAATACACAAAAGATATGATTCCATTTAAAAGAAAAAAAGTATCAATGATTTTTATATACGCTCGTTCCTATTCTCTTCTAAATTCTTATAATTTTTTTATAAAGAGAGTAGAGATCGCAGCAGAGGTGGATAAAATTTTAAACTTCAAAGTATCGAGTAAGTATCGAGTACAAATAAATGTAATAACTGTCATTCAAGGATTCAGTTACTTTTTCAACTTTTTCAACTTTTCCAATGCCCAAATTCGCAATAACAAATAATAACAAGTTCACCCCACTCCCCTCTTATAATTATAATTTTTCCAATTCTATCGATACTATATAATTAACTCGTGGTCTATTCGTTCGCACTTGCCACTACAAATCGATCAAATTACCCCAACACTCACGGCCACTATATCCATCTACGCAACCAACAACACCCGAATCCCACCCCTCCGCCAACCATATCCACCGAATCACCTAATCATTCCGCATTCAACCGTCCTCTCTGTATCTCGCCGTGAGCAGTCGCAACCAGTCGAAACGAACACGGCATTATCCCGCCGCCAGTGTCCGATTCGTGGGACATCGAGATCGTTCTCACCCCCCTCCTCCCTCCCCCACCGCCCAGCCAGAACCGGAGAACGCCACGACGAGTTCGATTTCGAGGGAGGGAGCATCCGTGTTCCAGTCTGCTTCTTCCCCCTTTGTCTCTCTCTTTCCCCAGCTGCACCCGTTACATCCATATGCAAATTTATTCTGCCCTGTGCGCGAGTGTACGCGCGCCCGCCTACGCCTACACACGAAGCAGTGCGGGGCCTTCTCGCGCTTGTTGTCGGTGCAGCGGAGAGGGTCATAAATTAAATGATGTAAATGCTCTGTCCACCCTCTGTCGCAGAGGAGAGACGACACACGAGCTCTCTCTCTCTCTCTCTGTCTCTCTCTCTCTCTCTCTCTCTCTCACTCTCTACCTCTATCCACCCCTACCCCACATTTCTCTGTCCCACTCTCGTTACATCGGCCCTCGAGTGACCTCGACGATCCACGCCAACCCCTGACCAGACCCCTTCT